GTGGATTGCTGATATAAGAAGTTGTTGGCTGTGAGATTGTGATTTTTCCATAACAGCAAAGATTTATTAGCAGTAGTGCTGCATGAGCCGCTGGCAGGGATAAGGGACCCATCAGTTCCTCAGCCCTCCATCCATGACATCTGTTCCTCAAAGCCTTATGAGATACTGGACAGAGTGGTGTCATGTGGAGGGGTTACAAGTCATAATCAGTTTAGATTTTTCCAAATTATATGACAAATTTCCTGGACCTCTCGAATGTGACAGCAAATATTTTGTAAGATGCTGTATATAAATTTTCTCTAAAAAAAAAAAAATCAAACATATAAATAATTTAATTAATAGACACATATGTCTACTTCATAAATGCAGTAGAAATTGTTTTTGGAATTGTGAAATATGTAAATTTTTAACAACTTTCTAATCTAAATGTAATTTATTCCTGTGATGCAAAGCTGCATTTTCAGCATCATAACTCCAGTCTAAAAAAAAAAAAAAATCAAACATATAAATAATTTAATTAATAGACACATATGTCTACTTCATAAATGCAGTAGAAATTGTTTTTGGAATTGTGAAATATGTAAAATTTTAGAAAGTCTAAATGTAATCTATTCCTGTGATGCAAAGCTGCATTTTCAGCATCATAACTCCAGTCTTCAGTGTCACATGATCCTTCAGAAACATTTATTATTATTATCAATGTTGAAAACAGTTGAGCTGCTTCATTTGTTTGTAGAAACAGCAATACATTTTTTCAGGACTCTGTGAGGAATAGAAAGTTTAAAATAACATTTATTTAAAATGTAAATATATTATGTCTCCATTTAATGCATCCTTGCTAAATAAAAGTATTATTTCAAAACAATAATAATTATATATATATATATATATATTTCCAGGAACTGACACTGGACCAGCATGTTTACTAGTGTTGTTGCTCTAATGGCCCCCAAAAAGGTATTCAGACACTTAACATGTCTGAATGTGATTGGATTATTTGAGAATATGAAACCGAGTGCTCTCTTCACTAACTTTTCAGCATTTTTGCCCAATGTTTTGGACATTTTAAGTAGATGTATAAAGTCAGTTCACCTTGAGTTCACACAAGTGTAGTTCATTACATAAACTGTCCCGTTTCCACAAAGTGACCAGTTAAAGGGCTGATATTGTTGTACACTTTGTAAGAAGAATCTGGCTTAAAGTAACAACCGAAACAGATTATGAGTCATTGCTGAGGAGTCAAGCTTCAGTGAAAGCTGTTAAACCTTTTACCCCATGATGGGCTTTTGGCTGCCTTAGAGGATTTAGTAATGAGGCCTTTGATTGGAGCAGCTCATAGGGACTGCGGTAACATTATCCCGGTTAGTGTATTGCTCTAAATATGCTGCAAAGCGAAGATGGCTGCTGGGCTCAGAACTGCTGTCAAATCACCAGCATGACGACACCCCACTGGGACAGTTTCTCTAGAGCTGGGCCTAAACAAACACCAGCCCAGAATCCATCAATACCGCACCAGCTGCAACAGATGCCAGGAGATTTCTGAATGTTCAACAGAGAAGGTTGTAGTGTTTGTATGTAATAGATTACTGGGGTTACAAGCAAAGGCCACCAGTGACTTGGAAGCGATTTCAAAGCACATTTGGACATGATAATATCTATATATTTGTCTAAAAGAACAGGAGGTTTATGTAATGACGATTCAAAGGAAAGTTTGGGGGGAGCTTGTTTGTTTGATCCTGTCAATCATATTTCAAGAATATATACCGTAATTAGCCGCTTACCTCACTCCAGCAAGTCCACCTTTATTTTTAAACACTTGTATCATATATTATTACTAATTATCTATTTATTTTTCTTTCTTTAGTCAAGCAGTCAAGTTTAGTAGCTCTGTTCTCATGCTCATCCATTATGAGCAGCACATCAAATCCTTTTTTTTTTTTTATCACATAGAGAGTCATATGAAGTAGTGAATCAATACTTGACATTTAAGGGTAGTTTTATGGTTGCTTTTTTTAGTGCATATTTTAATTCATAAGAACACTAGAATTCTACATTTCTAAAAGCAACAGCAAAAAATCTTGTGTACTATTTTGCCTTTCCGTGTGTGTGTGTGTGTGTGACCAGTACATCTTCTAGTAAATTTACGGACATTTCCTTCAACCCTAAACACTAAACAATGCAATGCATAGTTCAAAATATGGATAAAACACCTGTCAAAAATCAGTAAGGAAAATTCGGTAGCACTTTATTTTCGTGTTCCGCATGTACATACTATAGTAATTACAATAACTGGGTGATAACTAGGTACAAAACCCTAAACCTACCCCTAAACCTAACCTTAGCCCATGTAGCTACCTTATATTACTCAGTACTTTCTTAGGTAAGTAAACTTTAAGTCAGGGCTGGGCAAGTTCGGTCCTGGAGGGCCACTGTCCTGCAGAGTTTAGCTCCAACCCTAATGAAACACACCTAAACAAGCCAATCAATGTCTTTAAAGGAACACTCCACTATTTTTGAAAATAGGCTAATTTTCCAACTCCCCGAGAGTTAAACAGTTGAGTTTTACCGTTTTCAAATCCATTCAGCCGATCTCCGGGTCTGGCGGTAGCACTTTTAGCTGCAGCTTAGCATAGATCATTGAATCTGATTAGACCGTTAGCATCTCGCTCAAAAATGACCAAAGAGTTTCGATATTTTTCCTATTTAAAACTTGACTCTTCTGTAGTTACATCGTGTACTTAGACCGACGGAAAATGAAAAGTTGCGATTTTCTAGGCCGATATGGCTAGGAACTATACTCTCATTCTGGCGTAATAATCAAGGAACTTTGCTGCCGTACCATGGGCGCAGCAGGCGCAATGATATTACACAGCGCCTGAAAATAGTCCCCAGCTAGGAAATATAAGGAGATGCTAACAGTCTAATCAGATTCAATGATCTATGCTAAGCTGCAGCTAAAATTGCTACCGCCAGACCCGGAGATTGGCTGAATGGATTAGAAAACGGTAAAACTCAACTGTTTAACTTTAGGGGAGTTGGAAAATTTGTCTATTTTCAAAATAGTGGAGTGTTCCTTTAAGATCACTAAAAAGCTACAGGCAGGTGTGTTTGATTAGGGTTGGAGCTAAACTCTACAGGACAGTGGCCCTCCAGGACCGAAGCTGCCCAGCACTGCTTTAAGTACGTAAGTGCACATACTGTAAAATAAAGTGCAGCCGAAAATTCCTTCATATTAACACAGTACACTGGGCCGTACTTTTACAGATTTACTCACCCTCAAGTTGTTCCAAACCTGTATGAGTTTCTTTTTTCTACTGAACACCAAATAAGATATTTTGATAGTATTTTTGTCCACACTATGGAAGTCAATGGTGACCATCAACTGGTTACCATCATTCTTCAAAATATCTTCCTTTTCTGTTCAACAGCTGAAAGAAACGCACACAGGTTTGGAACAACTTGAGGGTGAGTAAATTTTTATTTTTTGGGTGAACTATAGCTTAAAAATTTGTGTCAATCATTTTTGACATATTAACAGTCATTACTGCATTTTAAAATTGAGAACAAATAAATGAAAAGGTTTCATGATTATATTTTGCATACTAATGTTAGTCAACACTTTCTCAAGCACTAGATGTATCCTTAGATAATGCAGGACAAGCTTTAATAGTGACATGGTCAGGATCATAAGCACACAGCAAACAAGACAGTTGATATGGAAAATATACACATTTTATACAAATATACAAAACATATTTCAATAAACTTGGATAAAAACATTAGTAAAATACAACAGTAGTTTAAAATGTACCCCTCATCTACATGACAGTTATGGGGAAAGTATGTCTGGCTGTCTTCTGAGTATTTTCGTGCACTGGACCCTCATTTCTGCTAGAAACAGAAGTGACTGGCAAATCATGAAATAATACAATATTGATCATTGCTGAAAATGTCTGTTATTTTGGGTGGAGGTAGAGGATTGAATATGTGCATTGATATCAGAGACAAAGGGCAGGAGATGCTCAATATGACAGCTGTAGTCCTGTAGTTAAAAGAGCCAAAAGAGGCACCGCCTGTTTGTTTATTCTATATATTGTCCAGCCTGAAAAGTAAAGCAATTTGAGCTAAATAAGTAAAATTTATGATGCCATTGTTATCAGATTTTTCCCCTTATATGAAATGTATTATTTATATATATAACATTGACAACAAGTTTTGGTCAATATGGTATCTGTGTACCATATTGACTGTATCTGTGTACCAATATGGTATCTGTGTCCTCTGTCCCTATACTTTTGGTATAAAAAGGGTTGTTTTTATATCAATAGTATAGGGACAATACAGATTTCACGAACATTTGACTAAAAATTCACATAAATCACAAGATCTAACAGATAGAAATTGTTTTGCTAACAAACACAAGGCTTTCTATGTTCAAATAAACATACAGTATAAATTAAATGTATTTTGATATAGTTTAAAGCCGAATTATCATGAGAATATGCTAATAATAGCACACTTATATTTAATATTTATTTGTAAAATATTTTTTCTAAAATTTTTTGTAATTTATATATTTATATATATATATATATGTGTGTGTGTGTGTGTGTGTGATTTATATATTTTATAATATTTAGCATTGTAGATTTGATCAGATTAGTTTTTTTGTTGCATTTTTGTATACAGTATGCAATATTTTGTTTTTACTACACTATACTTTTGTCACCATCAAAATTTACTTTTAACAACTAAATATATATTTTAAGTGTAAGTGCATTACCACCGTAAGTGCAACACTTTTTTTATTTTTTTTTAAGTGATTTAAAAAGATTTTTGGCAATTGTAGCATGCCACAATTGCTGTTGATGAAGTATAAATTGTTGATGAAGTATAATATTGACCCACAAATGAGTGTCTTCCTCATTACTTTTTAAGATATCAACACCTCTAATGATCTAAATTCATTCCACCAAGCAGCTCTCTGCATTGCAATTGGCACTACATTCTGCTCATTTGTCATATAACACTATCAGTGTTCATCACTGCAGCTGCTTCTGCAGGGACTCGGTGTGGACGTGCTGACCTCCCCATTTTCTCCCACCCATCCATTGGCGTCCTTTGCTCGCACCCAGTCCTTTCCCACGTAACCTTTGACCTCTCCTACAGAGCACCTCTCACTGGGATCCAGCGCTAACATCCTCCTGAACATCTGCATGCACACAGGTGTGAATCGTTTCCACTGAGATGGCACGGGGGTTTTCTTCGGCGATCTGCGCCAGTCTACAAACTCTTCGTAGAAATCGTCACTGTCGTTGCAGCGCTCCCAGGGGAAGAAGCCTGTGAGGATACAGAAAAGAAGCACGCCAAAGGCCCAGGTGTCTAGAGTGGGCTCCACGCGGAGCGGAGGGGCTTTCACCTCCGTCTGACCTTCCTCCAAGACCATGGTGCAAAGCTCTGGAGCCATATATGGCAGTGTGCCCGATATGAAGCGGATGAAGGTTCCTCGTCTCTGGGTGAGACCAAAGTCGGCCAGTTTGACGCAACGGCACTGGGTGTCCAGCAGCAGTACGTTCTCAGGCTTGATGTCGCGGTGGACCAGACCACGCTGGTGGATGAACTCTAGAGCACAAGAGATCTGAACGGCACAGCGCTTCACTGCACATTCAGGGATGCCCACCTGGACGAAAACAAGAAATGCAGTATAGTAAGTTGTTGATTTATAACAAATGTTGCATATTGTACACAAAAAAAATTAAAAAAACTCCTATATTCTCCTGAGACCCAGGGGAAAAAAAGTTTTGTAATTTTTTCATTTATAATTTATTTAATTTATTTATTTTTTTACATTATTACATTGTTTGGAGCATAAGATACCAGTCAATTTTTAGGTTCCAGGCTGTTTTTTTTCAATAACTTGTCACCTGTAAAATTGATATGAGAATAATGTTGGAAAAATACGTTTAGATGTTCGTTTTAATATTAGAAATAATATATTAAATTCAATAATATATTATAAATAAAAACTTATAAAGAGTTAAAACTAATAATAAAACTAATAATGTATTGTTTTTATGTTAGCAAACAATTATTAACAGAAATGGGCCAAAATGCTCAGTAATTTATTTTGGTAATAATAGTGTCAACTGTTTAAAAGATCCAACAGTTTGATACTGACACTTTGCATATGTGCAGGCACAAAATTCTCTCAAGACAACATCATTGCATGATAAGTTAAAATATAAGGTTGCATAAGTTTAGGAGCCCCTGTGGCGTTATTGCCACTTTAAATCTTTCCAGTCTTCAGTCTGTCTGGCTTAAGGTTTCACTCTTTATGCTGAACTAACAGAGACTCATGTGGTGACAGAGAAAAACAGCTGCTCTGATCTTTTACTCACACATTACACCCTCCAAGATTTTCTGAGAGGACATGTGAACATTACCAAAATATGTCAAGCGTACGTCCTTCTCCTTATTCAGTGCGAAAAACATGTGAACATGCCTAGCGTGTGAACGGGCCTGTAGTACATAGCAGTGCAGGGCAGGCCTGGAGTGACTTGACGGATCTGGAGCTTTATTAGTCACATACTGTACAAGTGTTTACTTCAGCTATGGGCACTTTTGATACTTTAGACATAATAAAATAAACTTAAACACACTATAGTTTTTTCCATTTGTGTACTAATAATGTCCAGCAGCAAATATGCATGTATCTGATTCAACCAATGTCACGTTCACAATTCCATTATTTCAAAATATGGAGTCACTCTGCGTTTGATGGCATTTTTATTTAACTTTTTATTTTTTAGATAGATAGATTTTTCATTGCTTTCTTGATGTATCTTCAGCTTTAAAAGCCTTCAGAGGCCATGCATTATTTTTGGTTTGTTTTCTTTTTTGTCCTGACACACTAAAAATCTGTACATCATTCATCATTTCTCTAGTCTGCGACGCATTTAATCAGCATCTGTCAAGCTTCATTCTGTAAACATGCAGATGTCCCGGACCCTTGGGATAAAATATACCACATCTAGAGTCACTATAGTGTCTGTGACGATATATATATGTGCGTATATATTCTAGTGATAACAGAACTCCAACTGTTTCACTATTTGTATCCGCTTGCAGCATTTCTCACAGTGAGTGTCATGGCAGATGTCCAAATCTACTATAATTTTATAAATAATACTGTTTTTGTGTCATGGAATGTAGTTTTTTATGTTAGGATGTAGTTGTTTAGACATCAAATATGTTGTTTGTAAATAAAGATAACATCTATTTGAAAATTTACTTTGACATTTTCGCAGATCAGCGGCCGTTCAGCGCTCATGAAACCGCTGAGAGCAACCTCACCTCGGCGAGTTCTTCTGGCTCTGATGTAGTGGTTAAACACGAGTTATAATTTGTTTTGGGTAAGTCTAACGGGCAGTCTTTGGTCTCATTAATCTATTATTTGTTCCAGAGCAAATGTGCCTAGCAACTTTTATGATGACTGCTGTTGTTGTTCATTAAATATTATTATTCAATAAATAATATTTTATATAAATAATAGAAGTATTTAATAATAATATTTAGTATTTAGAAAAGGTGTGTGTGTGTGTGTCCGTGATGGTGATTTTAGTTGCATTTTCCGCTATTAGATGGCGACAAGAGACTGTTTTTATGAGTGAGTCAGCAGTAAAGACTTTTATATTGAAAGAGACTGAAACAGGGTTGTAAACAAGGAAGTTATTTTTACTTTCAACAACAGCTTGTAAGACGCAGCCAACAAATGCAGTGAGCAGCGCTGTCATCGGAAATCATCCTTAACAGATGAAAGGATAGTACGACAAAGATATCGCTTTCCTCAGAGGACATTCAAACTCATGTATAATGCTGAATATGAGATTGAACTGAAGAATGAATGCTGTATCAGACGCAAGTAATCACACTCGCTCAGGCCATCTCTCTCTCATACTCGACTCTACATAATACACAGCTTTTAATACAGTAATACAATAAGCTTTTAATGCAGCAACTCAACATTACTTCGTTACTAGTTCTAAAGTGACATTTTCTAATTAGTAATGGAAGCTTGGGCTCAGCTGTTAAACTCCGTGAATCTGTGGCGGAAGTAGTTCCGCACAAAAGAGGGTTTTTAAAGACACTACTGTCTTTTTTATTTACACACTTGTGCCGTCGAACTGTTGTACAAACACAATATCACACGTAGGCCTAGCTGTGTGAAATGGCTGTATATCAGCACCACTTGGCCTGCGGTCTCGTACCTATGGCCGAATCACAGCTGCGCTGATATACAACCATATCACACTGCTACTCGTGTGATATTACTCATATATGTATATATATATATGTGTGTGTGTGTTTATTTATACATACATACACATATAGAAAAGAATCACCCCCCTTTAAAATAATCACATTTTGTTGCTTTGCAGTCTGAAATGAAGGACACAGTTTTTGTTTTATCCAGCTGTATTTACTCAGTGCAACTTAAAACATACAAGTGAAAGATATAACACCAACATGTCAGAATTTAAAAAAAAAATTTAAGTTGGAAAAAGGATCACCCCCTCCTAAAAATGACTTGCAAACTCAATCATGTGTAGCTAATCATCATTTCAGTCCTTGGCAGTGCAACTGAAGCAAACAATCTACTATGGGTGGCAAGGCACTGTCAAAAGATCTCCGGCAGTTGTGGACAGGCACAAGTCAGGAGATGAATGCAAACATTTTTTAAAGGATTTATCAATGCCTAGAAGCACAGTGGAGTCTATTATTAAGAAGTGAAATGTATTTGGTACAACACAGGCCCTCCTTGCATCCGGACGTCACTCCAAACTGGATGAAAGTGTCAGGAGGAAACTGGTCAGAGAGGCTCTCTGAGGCAACTCTGAAGCAGTAGGAATTTATGACAAAGAGTGGTCATTGTGTGCATGTGACAACAATATCACAAATTCTCCACAAATGTGGCTTGTATGGGAGGGTTTCAAGAAAAAATCCGCTCCTCAAGAAAGTCCACAAGCAGTCAGGCTGAGCTTTGCCAAACCTCTTTGGACTTCACTATAAAATATACACAAATAATTAATGTGCATAATTTGACAAATTAAGGAAAACGAAATATATATATAAAATGAAATTGAAAGCAATTGATGAAAAACAATGAATGAATGCATTGTAAAAAAAAAAAAAAATTGTTTTAGTGTTTGTGAGTTTTAAGAGAAAGTTGAAATTACTGAACATAGTCACTTACTGAACATAGACACTTATATGTATTTTGGAGCTTGCTGCACTTGCTTGTACAAAACAAAGTGAGTGGCTTCCTAAGACTAAGACAGTCAAGTATCTGGCTGACGTACCCTTGCAGCGGTGGGTGACCAGCAGCACACGGCCATACTTGCCGCGGCCGATCTCTTTAATGATGTAAAAATAAATTCATCAGTGTCATCCACTGCATTGTAAAATTATAAAAGCGATGCAAATGTTCACAGACTAGCATAAAAACAATATTCATATGCATGCACAATAATGCACAGAATTTAACTATTGACAAATCTGCCATTGTTAGCTGTGTATTAATGTCTCTCTATTTGCTCTTCTCTCACCTCTCTGCAGCTGTGGAAAGGATCAGGGTCACCCAGACGCACAGCAATAGCAGCAGTGCTGCAGCCAAAGCCGATGCAGAGTGCTGGGAGTGAAGACTCCTGTTCTAACAAGGGCTTTGAGCTCCTGGAAAGCTTTATATGGACGAAGCACTCACTCTGGGAAGAGTTACACTTCTGTGGTGTTGACTCCACCCGCATGCAGCACACATAAACACATGTTCACTCACATATATCAGACACATAAAACTGAGACTTGATATCATATATCCCCAGATATGTTATGTACATTCAGACTCAAACTGAGTTGGCCTAGTTATGATGAAAACACTGGATACATAACTTCAGAATTGGCTTGTTAGATGTGGAGAAGTTAATAATAAGACCCCTGAAACATGCACTTTTGTATTAGGAATATGGTCACGTATGTGCGTTTATGCACGTATGCAGTGTGTCTATCTTTTTAAAGAACAGTTTATCATTCTGATCGAAAGTGACATACTCTCACAGCACCATCAGATTCTATTCCTATCACCATTCAGCAGTGCTTTTATCAAATAGACGCAATGCTATTTATAAGAACAGCATGACACAACCAAAATAATTATCCGATTCATTTGTAGTCAATGAATAGTTTCAATAAACAGAAATAATTGTTTTACAAAAAAATTTGAATATGTATTCAAATCTCTTACAACGTTTTTTAATGAAATTTCTCATGTCTATAAAATAATTTCAGTTTTATTCATTTTACAAATTATTTTCTATAATTATCAGTATTCAACTAAATTAATTTAAATTGTTTAAATTCTTTCAGATTTGTCCGTTAAATGTTCATAATTTTCACACAGAAATTGCTAGTATATTTCACAATGAAATTTTGAAGTAGAAAAACTAAAATAGTATTTCCTTGTAAAAAGCAATTCACAAATCTTATTTACTCCTTTGAAAAAATAATTTTTAACAGTGTAGGTTGAAGAGGTTGATTTTTATTAAAACTTAATTTTTTTGTCAGTTCATTTAAAAATGCTCTTGGAAACATTTTAGCATACCTTCATCATTACTTTATCTTTATTTTATTTTTGTATGTTTCCTGGGACTTGTATCCCAGATCCAGACTTTCAATCACTGTAGATTAAAGGCCATGAGCAGGAAGGTCATTGGTTCTTACTTAATCAGTCATATTAGTGACCACCTTGACACTGAGTTATGTCATGGTGGTTGAGATCTCTTAGACACTGAGACAGTATTAAGGGTGCCAGTTTCTTGGGAGGCCAGCGGGAATGGAATTACAGTTCAGTGTGGACAGACGCTCAGCCAAAACCTGCTGCTACATATTATATATTATCCAAAATATTCATCACATGCAACATGCTACTTGTCTTCAGTGACCTAGAATGTGCTTAGCAAATTAAAAACAAAAACAGTTCACAAAATTACTATAATGGTTTCAGTGAGATAATCTTAGTTCATCACCACAGGAATGCTAATTTGGGGTGAAAATCACTGACTGGATTTGAAAGCGATCCCACTGCAGTGTGAGAGTGTTTTAGAGTGATTTTGTTTCCAACTGGTGTGAATAACGTGAGTGGATCATGGGTTTCTTACCACCTGCTGTCACAGAATAGATTCGCTTGAATACTATAATCAGATTACATATCGTGTTCTGGACTGTACGCCACTGTTTTGTGTGACTCATTTGGCAAGTGCACTCACATTTATATTGTAAATTACACCGCCATAGTTGAGAAAGGAATTCTGCTTTTGAAGATCATCAAAATTCTGTTCATTTATAGATGCACATATTCTTTTATTGTATTTGGACACTTAAAGGAATGTTCTGGGTTTTTGAAGTTCCTTCAAAAGCATTTGTGGCATTATAATGTTGATTACCAAAAATAATTAAAAACAATAAAAAAAATTATAACTAACAAAAAAAAAAAGAAAATAATAGAAATTGAAGTAATGGTGAGGCCCTTATAATAGGGCAAGTATTTGAATTTAAAAGAATAGATGTTAAACTTATCGTTTTCATATTTAATAATTTACTTTAACTTTACTTTACAAAAGCAAATTTTTCAAAATTTCTGGCAAAAATGTCTATTGTTGTAGATGTAAAGCTGTTTAAATCCTAATGTTATGGTCATTTACACTCTTAAAAATAAAGGTGCTTCAAAAGGTTCTTCAAGCGATGCCATAGAAGAACCGTTTTGGGTTCCACAAAGAACCATTTAGACAAAAAGTTTCTTCTATGGCATCGTGAAGAACCTTTATTTTTAAGAGTGTAGGGTTTCATAGTTTGTATTGTTCCGTTGTTGTGGCAACAAATTCAATTTTAATAACTACACAGAATAGGTTAGTAAGTGATTTTCTGCACACTAAAAACATGGCTATACTTTTGAAACTGTGAGTATTTTAATGTTTAAGGATTGGTCCCATTAATTTGTAAGTTATTGTAAGTGCCTTAATCTAAAGGGGAGGTCTAATGTTGTTAGAATGCATGCATTCTGAGTTATTGACACTGTTAAAGAGTTGGATTCTCATGCTAAACATGACCAAAGTTTCAAAAAAGTTTTTGAGCATGGATCTTCATGATGTCATGAAGGGCGGAATTTCTTGTTATGGGTACTTCTGCGCACACAGCAACCAGAAGCGAGAGCAAGAGCAAGAGCAGCCCATCAACGTGCTTCATTCGGTTTCAGAAGTTGTCTGCAGCGCTGCACAGGACTTGCTCAAGAAGAATGTCTCTAAAGAAGTGTGTTTTTGGATGTGAGGGAAAGATAACCTTGTTCAGATTCCCAAAGAACCCAGCGTTACGTGAACAGTGGATAAAGTTTGTTTTTCCGGGGCAGCAACGAAGTTTCGCACGTGTTTGTTCCCATTATTTCAGTGACGAATGTTTTATAAACAAGGCCCAGTTCGACACTGGATTTGCAAATCGTTTGATACTGAAAAATGGAGCGGTCCCAGCGATAAAAGATCCCAGTCACAAGGGAAATCCCGGGGGGTCGGATGGCACAGGACCCTCCCATCTGAGGGTTGTCCCCCCCCTTAAAATATGATTAAAAACCACGCTGTGTATTGTAAATATCAATGTTTTATACTTTAAATAACTTTATAAGTAGTAAAACAACGCAAACGGGGCAAAAATGCGTTTTAAGTTTAGAAACATTTTGAGTCTCCCCCTTCCTTGCCTCACAGTGCTTTGGTCCAAATGCCTGCTTTCCTCTTTTACATTACCTCAGTTGCCCCCGCGGAACTGGGCTACTTTAACACTGTTGCCGCGGGTTGAAGCGACCCCAATAACGTGATATGTGTGCGAATTTTACTGGAGGAACCCCGCCGAAAAACGTGTATTTTAATTTCTCTTTAATACAGAGGATGCCAACGTATTTTTCGATGAGTCCGCTATGTTAGCAATAATTGTTATGGGGTGACATGGAGGAGAGATGCGCGGATCCATTTGCAAGCTTTTATTAATAAATATGGTCAAAACACTGGCAGGGTCGAACACCAGCAAACGGGTATGGTACGGGCAAGACACAAGATAGTCCAAGAAACAGGCAAGGGTCAGTCAATGGCGAACGTAATCCAACAGGGCAAGGCAAGAAATAATCCAAGTTAACAGCAATAGTCCAGGCAGGGGCAAACAGAGTCCGTAACAGCAATATTGAACACAGGAAAACAGGCAAGGCGAGACTATGACTAAACTAGGAAAACAGGAACTGGCTCCATAGAGTAGCTATCACTGGGTGAGTGATAAACGCTAAACAATACTCGGCAGTGAGAGAGAGGAAGTCCATGGCTTATGTAGAGTGTGTGATTGGCAGCAGCTGTGAGTCTAATCAGTGCAATGGATGCTGGGATATGTAGTCCGGGATGACATGCAACATGACATTTGTGTAGTGCAAGAGTCAATGTAACGAAAGGGTGACCTCTGGTGACAATCGGACGGAAGTCCAAGGACAGGATTCGTGACAATAAAAATGCTTGACGGATAGTAATGTCTACAACGGAAACGAGTGCTGTCGCTGCACGACCACAACAGATTTAAATAGTTTAATTTAACACGGTCTCCCTGCTACACTAATAATAGTAAGGCTGTGTATACTTGCCCTTACAAGTACAATTTTAGCTGTATTATTTGTGTCCCCTTCAAAAATTGCTCTTGAGAAATTTTATGTTTATTGGCCCCCCCAACTGTTAGAGGAGATTTACGCCCCTGGTCACAAATCGGAACCGCAGGGCGGCAAGTAAAACTGCATCAGATTTCTGTGTTTTGTTGGCAATCGGCGCGTAAATGCTCGGGACTCTTTAGCTCCACCCACGGCACACCTTCAGGAGCTCAGCTGTTTTCGGAAAGAATTGTAAAGCTGTATCTTTCTTTTATAAATCTGATAAAACTAAAGACTCTTCTGAGATATGAAGGATGCAATACTACTATATAGTTACTCAAGATTAACATGAGATTGGCGAAACTGTGTGTGTGTTATGTCCCCTTAAATTTTTTTCTCTTTTTTTTATTGTGGTAATCAATATGACGGTAGCCATTGACTTTCATAGTATTTTTCTCATCATATGGAAGTCAGTGGCTACCAGCAACCGTTAAGTTACCAACATTCTTAAAATATCTTATTTTGTGCTCAACAGAAGTAAGAAACTAATACAGGTTTGGAAAAACTTGATGGTGAGTAAATGATCACAGTATTTTAATTATTGGGTGAACTATCCCTTTAACTTGAACTGAATCTGGAATATCCTTTTAGGTTACATTTAAGTATATACTGTAAATAGCATTGCTTTAAACCAACAAACAGACAGGAACGTAAAAATGCATGACAGATATCATTGCAAATGTAAATTCTTTCATTGTGTGACCTATGTGTGACCGGCCTGGGGTCTTTATTCCAGAGAGTAGGTTGGGACGAGACACGAGGTTTATTTTAGATGAGATGTGTTTTGATCCAGAAACGATATAGAAGGTGCAGACAGCCTTGTAAGATATAATTTCAGATGCCAGCCGATCCTCTGTGTGAGTGTGTGTGCGAGCGCCTGTCTGTCTGTCCTCTCTGGTGATGAATTAGGGGGCAGGAGGGTCTCTGTGGAGAACACTTTTAGAAGCAGTGGATTCAATAGGTGCTATTCTTACAGGCTAATTACTCTCCCTGGCAAACGTTCTTTGATACAGAGCTCAGGCTGGA